TAAGAAAAGTTTAAATTGACTTATAAAACTATAAACATATACATTTCTATTGTTTCCTAAAATACTTACCTATGTGGTTAATTTATTAAAAGTTACTTTGGTCAAGGATTTTATTGTTGCATGAAATATTGTTCTCACGTCCTGTGTGAATATTTTAATATTAAGACAAAATGATCTGCACTTTAACGATGGAATACGTTTCGTTTATATTGAGACCGTCAAATAGAATAATAATATTCAGATTTTTATAAGGTATCTGACTGCTACAAAGGTAAGAATGCTATTACCAAACCCCACATTTAGTGATATAACAAACAACACTCAATCCGCATTCTATTGTCTACTTATCATCCCACCTCAGCGTCCCCTGGTGGAACAGCGGTAAGTCTTCGAATTTACAACACACACACACGCACGCACCCCAGCGGCAAGTCTGAAGGCACAGTACAGATAAGCACATTGTGCAGCTTTGCTCTTAACAACTAACAAATGAATAAACTACCTGTCACAACTGCACCTGGTCTGAAGTTTTTTTAAGAAGTTGAAAACAATAGATATATGATTGTTCTCACTTGTTTACGTAAGAAATGATATCAGTTTGTTTTCTTATCTTTCTTCCCAAAAGCATTTTTCTCTTTACGATAATATTACGCAATACTCTTTCCAATATTGATTTAACTTTTCCACTCTGCGCACTTTCTGTATGCATGCCAGTCTTTTGTACTGACACATTTAATTGATTGAAACACTTATGGTAATCAAACCAAGACACTTTCTATTTCCAAATAAATACCTCGGGTACCAGAATAAGTGAAATAATCCCTGTTTTTATCCTTGTTTCATCGTACCGATTCCCGTTCTGATAGCCCAGTGGTACGCTTGAGGGCTTATAGCATTAAAATTCGGGATATAATCCATGCTTTATAATATTGAAATTTATGGTTAGTGCCATGCTGTGGGCACGACACAAATAACCAATTGTAAAAAGATAAAGAAACGAACCTATTCAACAAATTTTAAGTCTCAGTTTTAATTTCTATATACCTTCAATTTATATTTTCCCCCATAGTAAAATATTTTTACCGTTATTTTACTTATTAGATATATTTAGATAGTCTATTCAGTCATTCTTGTCTCCCGGTGGGTCAGCTGTAAAATCCAGGTTTCAATTCTCTGTGGTGGACAGAGTGCAGATAACCATTTTGTAGTTTTACAATAACAAAAAACAATAACAATTTACTGTTCTGACAAACTTTGTTATGAGGTTAGGCTGGACACTTGGTAACCAATAGTCTATCTGGAATGCTGTTTATATACACCAATAATAGAAAAGTACAAGTAGCTGTTTAAATGCCTACATTTTATTGAAGCATTAGGACTGTAGTGGTTTTCCTTGTTATAGTTATTCTAATTTGTTCATTACAAAAACAGCCCCCCCCCCCCAGTGTCTGCGAACTTACAACGCTATAAACCGGGTTTTGATACCCATGGTGGGCAGAGCACAGATAGCCCATTGTGTAGATTTGTGCTTAACTTCTAACAAACAAACAAAAAACAGGTGTATGTTTGTATAAATAACATCTCAAATCTACCTTTCTATTCATTTCAAAATATATTTACCCTTTCCATGTGCTTCTCTATTGAATTTCTTTAAAAACGATTCTAATTTTTGTCTGTTCTTTCATTCATGATTTTAATATACTTACCCAGTTTTCCAGTACCTGTCCACTATGATAAAAGTTTCATTTGTTTTACTGGATTTTAATACTGTTAAATTTCCTGCTCATATATTTTATAACTTCGTTTTCAATCCCAAGTTATTTACCGTGTAATGCTTATTCTTTCAAACACTGCATTATTTTACCTTCAGTTCTATTTCTTAGTTTTATACGTTTTCCTTAGTTTCTATCAAACCCACTTCACGCGTCAGTCACTGTATTTCAACAGCATTTATACAGGTAGATTTTTTCCTGTTCATTGTTACTTCTTTTTGAAACGAATTCCTTCTCAATTCCTGTGCCTTTATCCCAACACCCTTTTCACCTTCTTCTCTGTGCCTTAATCTCGATAAACGTTTCCTATCGAATTCAGTTTTTTCTGTCACAGTTCAACTTCAAACTATATTCCTGAATATTTCTATATCTGTCTCATATTTCTCTATAGGTTTGTCTCATCAGCATTGGAATATACCGAACGTTTTGTCTAGTTTTTACTTTATATGAATATTTGTTTCTCCATCATATTTCCTTCTTAGTATCCGATTGTTTATCCCAAAAGGATTCTCTTATCTATATTTTTGTTTATATTTTGACACATTCTCTTTTTCTAAATCCCACGTTTTTATTTAAAATTTATTTCCTTATGCATACTTGTTTTTCCTGGATGAACGTTTCCTATTCGGTATTCGAATCTTCTTTATTCCAAAATAATTCACTAATCCATTTTTACATATTCCATCCTCACATTCTTTTAATTTTTAGCCCTATTTCACACCTGGTAGTTAGGGCACTTGACTCTCAACCTGAGGGTCGGGGGTTCGATCCCATCGCTGAACATGCTTGCGTTTCAGCCTTGGGTGAGCTATAATGTGACGGTCAATCACACTATTGGTTGGTAAAGAGTAGCCCAAGAAGTGGCTGTTATGTTATGAATAACTGCCTTCCATCTAGTCTATCACTTCAAAATTTGGGACGGCTAGCGCAGATGGCCCTCGAATAGTTTTACGCGAAATTTAACAAACAACTTTACCAACTTTGTGTTTTTAGCTATATAATATTTTATATTAATTTTAGTTCTCTCCGATGGTCAGCGTTAATTCTAAGGGCTTATAACAATATAATTTGGGTTTCGATACTCGCGCTGGGCACATCATAGATAGCCATTGTATAACTTTGTGCTTAACAGCAAACAAACGAATCATTTTCGTTTACTTATAACAACGTATGTCAGAATACACCCCTAATTTATATATCCGTGTTTCCTTTTCTTCTGTGATTCACGCACTCTTTGCTTGATTTTGTCTTAATCTCATTATCTCATTCATCTTTTGTTATTAATTTCAACAATCGTATCATCTACACTAATAACCCTTTCTTTTTTTATTTCAACACACTTTTTGTCTTCATTACTATATTCTCTTTGAAACAAACACTCACATCATTCGATCATTTATTACAAAATTTTTATTATTCACTTTGTTGCGTTAATGCCTGACAGTTATTCTCGAATTATTTATCTCTTTATTTCAACACGCTGCCCTTCTTAAACACTTGGCCCAGCATGGCTAAGTGGTTAGGGCGCTTGACTCGCGGGTTTGAATCTCCGTCTCACCAAGCACGCTTGCCCTTTCAGCCGTGGGGGCGTTATAATATGAAGGTCAATCCCACTATTCGTTGGTAAAAGAGTAGCCCAAGAGTTGACGGTGGTTGATGATGATTAGCTACCTTCCCTCTAGTCTTTCACTGCTAAATTAGGGATGGCTAGCGCACATAGCCCTAATGTAACTTTGCGCGATATTCAAACCAAATCTTAAATACTTATTATCTCGCTAGTCACATCTGTCTGTTCATTCCTACACACTTTTATCATCCATAAATAAGTATCATGGAACGCTCTCTAAAGAAGGTTCTGTTTTGTCTTATCATTTTGAATAATTTTTCTTTCACCCGTGTAATTACGCTGGGCTTCAAGAACGATTGTTCATCAATATGTAACACTGAATCTTATTTTCGCGCCAGTCACACGGTATTTTGTTGCGCCTTGTGACTTTGCCGATCACTGTGTGTTTATGAAAGTTGGGAACACCATCAGTTATTAACATTCCTTGTTCTTTTTCTAAACAATTTATATACTAAATTATTTTATGTGTCTATAACTCTGAGCACTTTTTTTTTCTATTTTCTCAGCATATCCTCTGGTATTTTTCACTTATTAATCAGTAGCGATATTACGAGAAAAGAGGGTTATATAAATCTAAACCTAATTCGATAAAAGTTTTCTTTTAAAGAACCTTTGGGTCTGCTTGGTAAGTTTTACACCTTCACATAACATATCAATTGCAATAGCAATTGAAAAAAAACAATATAGATTAACTTGGGGCAAAAACCATTTAGAAAGAGACCTCTTACAAATCCTTCCTAAGATAAGCAATATGAGACGTCTTGTAACATGCCAGAATTCACGAACACAAAAGGCAGTGGCAAAAGCCATCTGTGTGCCCCAGGCAACAATACACAACATAATCAAGAATGATCTTCATCTGGAAAATCAACACAAGTTACTTCCACGACATATACAGGAAAGGAAGACCACCTGTATAAAACTGTATGATCGATACCCAGCTTAGAAAACTAGCAGGATGTAATGACACTCGACCAAGAATATGTGTACTTTGATATCTGTGGCAAATCTCGCGTCATTGTCTATGGATGAAAATGTCCAGTAAATGGATGAAAAAAAACTTTCCAAAAGTTGTGCATTGCATTTCGAAAGCCTTTTTCAGAGGGATTCATGATCATCCCTGGATGCTAATCTATGGGTAATTTAGGGATCAAGAGAGTGGACACAAAGTTCAAGATGAACTCTGGTTACTATCAAACCAATGTTTTGGACACTTTGTACCATACAAAAATATGGGCTTTGTACGAAAATGGGGCCAAAAGGGTATTAGTTTGCAAAGATGAGGCCTCCAGTAATTTTTCCCGTTCAACCCTTATGTATTTTAAATAGCTGGAGAATGAAACGTGGAATCATATATACTATTCCATGCGAAGGCACATTGGTCATGCTGTTTATGGATTTCAGTGCGATCGAACTGTTAAACGGGCACTGAGAAACAGTACAGTAAATGGATTATAAAACGCACACAGGGCGGGATGGTGTGTTTTGGATATGAAACTCTTACGGTGGTACTCTTTCAATGGAAATTACACTGTAGGGCTATCGTTCAAGATTCATTGTAGTCAGATCGGATGTGGCGATATGGACTATAACGAATTGGTGAGGTTACAAAATCGTTTTAATACAACGTACTCAACCCTTTGTACAACAAAATTAAATGCACGTCTTTGCTTAGGTATGATTGAATAAATGCTTGATAAATAGCCTGCATTAAATAAATTTAATTTTTTAAATGTAAAATGTGGGTTTACAACTGGAAATGGTAGACAATAAATTTTACAGAAGATTTCAAAACAAAATTTATGATGACTGGTTAACTTTGAAGCAATGTATTCCAACTAGAAAACTTCAAACATGCAAAGACAGTTTATCACTAGGCACAATTAACTACTGGAGTAAACTCCCTTGTATTAAAGAAAGTACTCAGATTAATAAATTTTGTTGAAAAATCGTGCCTCCAATAATTTCTAACAGATAAGTTTGATGCTATAGCTGTTGCGAAGAGAGGATTTATGCTGCGTGGTTGTGATGAGAAGACACTATATATATATGTGGACTGTAACAGCCTGTTGAGAAGTTGTATCTCCGATGGGATTTGAAGTTTTGTAGAAACTATTTGATATATTTCTATATATATATGTGGACTGTAACAGCCTGTTGAGAAGTTGTATCTCTCCGATCGGATTTGAAGTTTTGTAGAAACTATTTGATATATTTCTATATATGTATGTGGACTGTAACAGCCGTGTTGAAAAGTTGTATCCCTCCGATGGGATTTGAAGTTTTGTAGAAACTATTTGATATATTTCTATATATGTATGTGGACTGTAACAGCCTGTTGGGAAGTTGTATCCCTCCGATGGGATTTGAAGTTTTGTAGAAACTATTTCAAACAAACAGCTGATCAGAAACTTCGGTTACACGGTTTCAGACTGCACTTTCTACGACGGAGATTCAAGTTTTCAAGAAACTCTTGTAATTCATATATCATTCATGCCTCCTTATCTTGCTGCTATATTAATCGAATTATTGCGTAAAGCTGTTGATGTTACTGAATAACAAGATATTTCGAATTTTGTAGCACATCACATGCGCTGATACAATAAAAGTACATATTTTAGCATACCTTCAATAAGTATTTTCCAACAAAAGCAAACGTTTCACAAGTGCATTCCTTTCAAAAAAATCGTACACTTAACAGGTGCACAGCTTTCAACAAAGGAATATTTTTCAAGATATTCATATCTTCCAACAGAATAATGCTTTTCAACAAATGCATATCTTTCAAGAAAATTTTATTTTTCAAAATATAAATATATTTCAAAAATTATGCTTTGTGAGAAAAGAGGTACTTAAATACAGCGCATTCACCAAAACAAAAATATGCACGCAATAAAAATAGTATAGCTTACAACGCAAGGATACATTCCAATAATATTCCATAAACAAAACATATTCTAATACAAATATTAGCAGAAACTTCTTTACTTATCAAACCATAACTTCCAGTTTAGAGTATCCTTAAACAACAAAAAGGAACATATATATACTTGTTTATCTTTGGTTCTGATCTATGTAGATAGTTTGCTTTGTTCAAAGGTTAATATTCATAAAAAGAAGGAAAATTCGCCTAACATAAAGAAAACCTGCTAGTACGACACATATTTCTTCTGTAAACATGCAGTGTAGACTAACTTTCGAGAAAAGTCATGTGTTGTATGCATATCTTACACTACAAACACACCTTGCTACAAGATCACATAGCTTATAGTGGTCAATATTTTTATGTAAATACATCTTTCATCTCCTCTTCCTATCAAAACATACACATTTTTACAGATATGTAGTCTTATTTATGTATCACTTAAAATATCGCTCACTTTCTTGTAAACTACGTATATGTTAATCAAAAACACGACTTTGTTCCAGAGATCTGTCGCCAGCACCTGCTAAACAAACCTACCCAATATATGTGTTATTTCTTTCTTATATATATTTACTATATAAACACATGTTTTAGCACGAATTCTCCTCCCCAGAACAAAAGCAAATATTAAATTATAAAGTTAAAAGATAAAATTACTAGACATTTCTTCGAGATTTTGAAAATTTATATAAATTTACTAATGTCATTGTTAAATTAAACAGAAATTATCTAATATTCGTGCTCACTCAAATAAGATAAAATTTTAACATTCTTTTTTAAGTGTTTCGTCATGATCAAGTTATCAAATCTTTACAAAGTAATTTTCAGCCAAAACGTGTTCTGTTAATAATTATTATATGTGTACTTGACATAAAAGATTGTAGAGTAGGTGCTTCGAAAGAAAGGTAGGGGGGGATTATAAAATGGAACTTTATTAATGGAGCTGTATACTGGACAAGTACTCTAAAAGTAAATCAATCAAGGAAATTATGTAACATTGAACTTGTTACAACATAAACAAAATATTAAAAAAATGAGAATGGTTTGAAAAGAACTATTACTAAGAACCGTACTAATAGTTAGCTTTAATGCTAAACTTTCTCTAAAATAAATCTAACTAAGAACTCCAAGAAACTTCCAGAAATCTAACTAAGAAAGTCCTGTCATTTTCAGCACTTTTACACACTTATAAGTCATTCAGATTTAAATGAGAAACCGAGGGAAGAACTGTCAGCTATCTTCAGCACTGTAACATACTTTAATATGGATAAGGCTTGGTAAACGTTTTTGTAAATCTGATAAAGCTAGAAATATATTATCTCGTGTATTGTGTCTGAAAATATTTTTTTCTGCTTATTCAAAGAACCAGTTTTTGGTATTTCCAAACAAGCAAGTCTGAAGGGGCCTATTTATTTATGTTATGCCTCACGATACCTGAATAAGAATTAGAAATGTTATTTGAACTTTATTAGAGTACGCAATATATGTTATGCCTATATTATCTTGTGTTTTGACTTCTTGTTTAGCGTTCGACTGAGTGCTAATTCTTCACATTTTCAACGTCTTCGTGTAAGTCAATGTTCCATTTGTCATATTTAAAGAAAATTCATTATAGTACATATAACTAACGTTAACACGCTTACCCTGTGGTCTTCGATGCCAACCAGGTCATAATACTCTTCTCTTGTGATCATGAAGGCCGCTAGATTAGCAGTGTAAATGGCGAGAAAGACCACAGCAAACATGGCCCAGATATTGGACATGAAACGAGCTGTATAACCCCGAGGACAGTCGAGGTTAACGCTGGCACCAAACAGTATAGCCCAAACTAGCCAGTAAGTTCGGAAAAGAGAGAACTTATGATCTAAAAAACAAAGTTTATAAGATAAAACATATACATTCACAAGTAGAACAAAGTACAGTTCATTAAAAAATAGGTAAGTCAAGTATTTTGTAAATTAAAGATACTCGAATATTTGACAAAACTCTATGAGATGGGCACACTCTAAGATACAAAGAAGACCTAGCTTAAATCAAACCTGATAGCCCACGTTATTGGCTTTCATCTTCCAGTTTTGGCTTCTCTTTGCACTTCGAAATTTTTAACCTCTTATTAAATGTTTGTAATACTTATTTTTACAAGCTATCGGAGACGTAAAATTAGATAGTGACATTTAATTCGATGAAATTTTTAACCTCTTATTAAATGTTTGTAATACTTATTTTTACAAGCTATCGGAGACGTAAAATTAGATAGTGACATTTAATTCGATTAAATGTTTAACCTCTTATTAAATGTTTGTAATACTTATTTTTACAAGCTATCGGAGACGTAAAATTAGATAGTGACATTTAATTCGATTCAGAAAGGTTTTTGAAGCATCAGAGCCACCGTAGATGCCCAGAAATTAGATTTACAAAAAAATTAAGAACTAGACAAATAGAGGGACATTAGAATAAAATTATATAATCCGAATAAAAAAATATATATATATGTGTTTAATTTTATCAGAGGCATCGTTTGAGACGTAAGGAAACACTCCGTTAGAAGCCTTTGAAGTCATGTAATATTGTTCTCATTACTTCATCTAAGTGAGCCGAAATATTCTAATAGTGTGATATAATAAACTATGAGCAGTCATGTAATATTGTTCTCATTACTTCATCTAAGTGAGCCGAAATATTCTAATAGTGTGATATAATAAACTATGAGCAGTCATGTAATATTGTTCTCATTACTTCATCTAAGTGAGCCGAAATATTCTAATAGTGTGATATAATAAACTATGAGCAGTCATGTAATATTGTTCTCATTACTTCATCTAAGTGAGCCGAAATATTCTAATAGTGTGATATAATAAACTATGAGCAGTCATGTAATATTGTTCTCATTACTTCATCTAAGTGAGCCGAAATATTCTAATAGTGTGATATAATAAACTATGAGCAGTCATGTAATATTGTTCTCATTACTTCATCTAAGTGAGCCGAAATATTCTAATAGTGTGATATAATAAACTATGAGCAGACATGTAATATTGTTCTCATTACTTCATCTAAGTGAGCCGAAATATTCTAATAGTGTGATATAATAAACTATGAGCACATTGGTCAGATGAGACAATTATTAATTTTAAAGTTTATTTTCTATATTAATCAACAACATTGAAGTTCTGGGATTTATATGTTTTATAATCTTTGGCAATATGAGGTTGAAATATTTCCACTATTTTTCACATTTCATAAGGAACCATAAGTTTATGTGGTTGGGAAATCCATTTTTAACAAAGTTAAGCTGAAAATCCCGAAAATGTAGGCTTATGTTGTTCTTGCGCTCAATTGCATTTCGATAATAATGCAACAACGACACCAAAACTTTCGGTATAAAGCTTTGATTTCTTTAAAATTTTCGCTTTAGAGTTATTAGCAGCTGAGATTTTGTTAGTTCGTGTACAAAGAGGTATAAAACATATGCATAAAGCAAGCATTTTGTATTTGTTGATTACTCTAAAGGACCATACTACTGGTTAATGATACTACATAATTTTAGTACCAGTATAGATACTGTTTGGTTCTGAGGATTTTCCTGGGCTTCAAATGATGTTGGTCATAAGTACAATTGACAATTTTCAAAGACATTAATTTATGGCTATGTGTATTATGTGAACAAAGCTAGTAATGATTTAGTGAAACTACCGGAATAAGTCTACAAGTCGTTAAGGTTTTCCTTCAGAACCAACTATTACTGATTTTCATCAATATATGGCATCAACGCATGAATATGTTATATTGCAATCAGTCGATGATCCAGTATAAAGGAGAAGCCTATGTACAGTCCTATCCCTTTGCATTGATAAGGTTCTAAAAGAGTGTGCTGATGGCTCGAAACAAAATTCACAAAACGTTTAACGCGAATCTCATGCTTATAACAATGTTAGAAAGTTTAACGTGACTAGTCACTTAGGTAGAATCTCATGCTTATAACAATGTTAGAAAGTTTAATGTGACTAGTCACTTAGGTAGAATCTCATGCTTATAACAATCTTAGAAAGATTAACGTGACTAGTCACTTAGGTAGAATCTCATGCTCATAACAATCTTAGAAAGTTTAACGTGACTAGTCACTTAGGTAGAATCTCATGCTTATAACAATCTTAGAAAGTTTAACGTGACTAGTCAATTAGGTAGAATCTCATGCTTATAACAATCTTAGAAAGTTTAACGTGACTAGTCACTTAGGTAGAATCTCATGCTTATAACAATGCTCATAACAATGTTAGAAAGTTTAACGTGACTAGTCACTTAGGTAGAATCTCATGCTTATAACAATCTTAGAAAGTTTAACGTGACTAGTCACTTTGGTAGAATCTCATGCTTATAATAATCTTAGAAAGATTAACGTGACTAGTCACTTAGGTAGAATCTCATGCTTATAACAATCTTAGAAAGATTAACGTGACTAGTCACTTAGGTAGAATCTCATGCTTATAACAATCTTAGAAAGTTTAACGTGACTAAAAAGATTGTGGAACATTTAATATGAAAATTAATAATGTGTATTAATATTCTAACTTTATTTTTTTTTATCAGGAACCAGAAAAATACACAATGTAATTAATGTATTTGTCCCCAGACGCTTGGTTTAGATAAGTCTAACTGGCATCTTTGAAATATTCGGTCAGATGTACATTATAGAGTTGGCAAGCGTTGAAAATATTTTTTTAGTTTGCCTTAGAATTGTCACGCATAGTTACATCAAAGAGTTATCCGCGCATAGCTGTCACTATGTTTGAGCTGGTACATCAGATGGAAGACAGCTAATCAACAGCACACGCTACTAACACTTCGACTACTCCTGTCAGATTGAATAGTGGGTTTTAATCGTTACTCCAAAAGTACACCCACAGCTTCAAACTGCTGAGGAAGGTTTTGCAACAATGGCACGCGAACCATTCCTCGGATTTATATTCCGGAAATACTGCCCACTAGGCCACACCTGGTCTACCTTTTCTTTTTTCAGTGTTAATAAACGAAGTGTTTTAAGTTAGCTACTGTTAGTTAAGAATATTCAGAAAATTCAAAACGTTTAATAATGGTTGGAGATTGCTTGAATAGGTAATGAAGAAAAACTTTAATATAAGTTTAACATAACAGCAAATGTACAACGTTTCGGCAAGGTTTTGTCATCATCAGCTCAGTATTTTCAGTTATAGGAGCATTTTAATGACCGTTAATTAAGTTACTAGGTTAAGAGCATGTGGTGGGTATTGTTAACTAGCTGCCCTCATATCAACAGTTCTACATTAGGGGTGTCTAATTCTGAACTTTGAGATCTTTAACTTGGCTGTCGAGTCTATGTTTTGCACAAAGTCCCGTTCAGGTTGTAAATGTGAAACATATTTTACAGATTTGAGATACTTGTACTGAGACATATATATATATATATATATACATACACATATGTCAGTATGATATCAATATTAGTCCTAATCTATATTGAGTATTTTTAAGCTACTGTAAAACTGTTAAACTTCCAAGTGATTGCAATGTATTTTTGGTAACAGTTTAATTCCTAAATTGGAATAAAAGTTTGGTTTAATGCTAACATTAGAAAACGCCGATAAATAATTCATACACTTTAGCGTAGCTTTGCTAAATATTTATTTCACTACCTCAAAAACTCATTGTTCTTCTTACCACCTGGGCTGAGCGTGGCCTATTAGTTAGCGTGCCGGTCTGTGGATCTTACGGGTCCATGATAGAAGTATTTTCAAGGAGAGCAAAACATATATGTAGGTGATCATCTTTTACAGTGTAAGTCAATAGAATAAAAGAATGTGTGTTATGTGTGCTTAAACGCAAACACAAATTTACAGTTCTAATAAATATTACTAAAAATATTTACATTAACTACGATGTTAAGCTTACATCATAATACGTCCAATTTTTTTTTGTGAAATGAGAGGTGGGGCAAATGCTCCCTCTTGTCCCTTCCTGGGGGCGCCCATATTCGCGTCCTCTTACTGCAATGGAAATCTTCCTTTGTACTTTGGGTCAGTTTGTTTGTTTGTTTTGAATTTCGCGCAAAGCTACACCAGGGTTATCTGCGCTACACGGCCCTAATTTAGCAGTGAAAGACTAGAGGGAAGGTAGCTAGTCATCACCACCCACCACCAACTCTTGGGCTACTCTTTCACCAACGAATAGTGGAATTGACCGTAACATTATAACGCCCCCACGGCTGAAAGGGACAGCATGTTTGGTGGAACGGGGATTCGAACCCACGACTCTCAGATTGCGAGTCGAGCATCCTAACCACGCCTTGGGTCAGAATGACAGTAAAATCCTACTATTCGTGGAAAGTGTGGAAAGCAGGCACACCATGTCTTTTGTACCTTCTTATTTGAATGTAGAAGTTTTCAATTTTTGTTTGTTTGTTCTAATTCTAAGCAGTTTTTGCATGACAAGTAGTCAAGAATTTATCGTTCTAGTTGATTTTATTCCTTTGTAATTCTATGGATATAACCCTAACATGAGTATATGGCTGTAATGCTGCACTTGCGCAAGAATTGTCGACAACCAGTGTTCTTTAATTAATGGTAGGTCGGATGATAGCTTGAGGTTACAGACTCTCCTTTGTTTGAATAGGAATACCCATAACGTGGTTAAGCGCTAGTCGCCATGGGTTAATCAGAAGTTCCCGTTAAGTAAGAAATGTTAGATTTAAACATTCATTTTACGGATCTAGAATGATTTGATAACATTTTTAGGGAAGAAAGCCAGTCTAATCAACTCACGATTACGGATCTAGAATGATTTGATAACATTTTTAGGGAAGAAAGCCAGTCTAATAAACTCACGATT